GTGTGTGTGTGTGTGTAGACGCGTGTGTTGTGAGGGGGTGCGGGGAGGGGATGCAGGGCAGGCAGTTGAGTTCGTGGGGGAGGGGTTGACAGCATGTGTGCGTGTGTGCACGTTCGTGTGTGTGTGTGTGTGTGTGTGGATGCGTGTGTTTGTCGAGTGTGAGGGTGGGTGGTAAGAGACGAGGAGAGGGAGTGGAGAGATTAAAGCGCGCGTAGGCGTGAGGTGCAATAAGAGCTGGCGACATGAGAGGAACAGAGCCAGGCAGCAGGCAGCGTCCAACCCCACGGACATGGCGCCGGCGGCTGGGCCCGGCCGCAAGTGCTCTGACAAGCGCCCCTCCCTCTGCTTTGAACGGCAAACAGTGGCCCCTTGAATCCCTGTCACACAATGCTGATGCTACCAAGTCATATCCCATGAGCCTGCATGGCTCCAGGAGTGGGCGACCGCGGGATCTTGTAACAATCCTAATCCAATCCTCTGGCGCCCCGCGCAGGCGGCGGTGCGGGCGCGCGAGTCCGGCAGCACGCGCTTCTGCATGGGTGCCGCTTGGAGGGGGCCCTCCCAGGTGAGAGCTGAAGACGCGCAGTTTCCCGGCAGCTGCCGCCGCCGCGATTCCGTCGCCGCCCGGCCCTCCAAAACCCCGACCCCGACCCCTGTCGAGGCGCCGACGCCGCACGCGCGTTGGCGCTGTCGGCCCTGCCTCGCCGCTGGGGTGCCCATGTGTGTGTTTGCTGCAGCAACTCTCGCTGGAGCAGCCGTCCTACAATATCATGGTGCCTGATGGGGCGGCTACTAAACCAACACACACGCCACATACTGCAAACACAACACACACACACACACACATACACATACACACACACCACATTCACATCAAGTCCGACGCACACAAAATCCAAGTCGGCTGGCCCTAAACCCTGCCTGGCCCCGTGCCCCCCCTAAAAACCCGGCAGGTCGGGCCGCGCCAGTGGGAGCGTGTGCTGGAGATGGTCCGTCGCATCCGCGGACTCGGGATGGAGGTGCGCAGCCCCCCCCACACACACACACACGCACGCGCGCGCACACAAACACACACGCACACACACAAAAGCCCGCGCGTGGCAGTTTGTGTGCGCTGGGTCGTGTGCACACATGTGCGCCGAGCGCATCATGTTGCCGAGACGCCCCGCGTTCCTCACCGGCGGCCGTCCCGAGCTGTGGGGCTTTGACGTTTTCAACTATGGGTGCGGGTTCCCACGGCACCTGGATTCTCGGAGCGTAGGCGCAGGGCGAGCCGCACGCATGGGCGCCCGGGAACGCGCCCTGCCGCCCCGCCTTGCTGCACTCATGCTCAAGCGCAACGCCATGACGCCGCCGGCCGCCGCCCCCGCCAGGTGTGCACGACCCTCGGGATGGTCACGCCCGAGCAGGCGCAGCAGCTGCGCCAGGCGGGGCTGACGGCCTACAACCACAACCTCGACACCAGCCCCGAGTACTACGGCAAGATCACCACGACGCGCAAGTACGAGGTTAGTGCGAACCCATCGACGAACCCATGGCGGCGGCCGTTAAGCAGGATTTGAGGGGGGACGCACCGAGTGGCTGTGCGCGTGCGGGGGGAGTCAGGCAGCAGGTTGCTGACACGAGCGGGGTGGTGTGCTCTGCCAGATCTGGGCCATGCCATATTAAACTCAACATAGTCGCTATCTGTTACACACACGCGCACACATCACACACATACACACACCGTTTCCTACATTCTCTGTGCATGCACACCGCTGATTCACCAGCACATGCAAGCGCGCGCGCGCGCACACACACATCACACACACATCACACACACCTCACACACTACAAAATCACCCAACACACAGGACCGGCTGGCGACGCTGGAGGCCGTGCGCGACGCCGGCATCAGCGTGTGTGCAGGCGGCATCATCGGCCTGGGCGAGGCTGAGGAGGATCGGGTCGGGCTGCTGCTGCAGGTGCGCCGCGCGTGATAGCTTCTCGTGGGTGTGAGTATTCGTAGCACGGCAGGGGGAGAGCGCGTTTGTGCTGTTGTTTGTGTGGGGGCGTGGCGTGGGTGTGCATGTATGTTTGTGCACGCGTGAGTGCGGGGAGGCAGCAGCGGCCCAGCCGCGGCGCGGCTGGGATGCCCCTGCCGCGCCCGCCTCCCAGCAGCGCCCACCCGCTCACCCCCACACCCCCACACGCCACCTATAAAGCGTGCCCCTCCAAAACCCCCACGCGTGCCGCCCCGCAGCTGGCCACCCTGCCGGCCCACCCCGAGAGCGTCCCAATCAACCGCCTCGTTGCTGTCAAGGGCACGCCCCTCCAGGTTGGTTTGCGGCCCCTTGCCTCCTTCCGACCCCGCCTTTCAGCCCCGCCCCCTGCGGCCCTCGCCGCCCTCGCAGCCACCCTGCCGTGGTGCAGCCTCGCCGCCCGCCGGCCTTGCAGCCGCGCGCGCTCGGCCCCGACGTTCTCATGGCCCGCGCGCCGCCCCGGCCTCGGGCCTTGCCTGTCTGTTCGAGTGCCCCCTGCGCCGCCCTGCCGTCGGTGGCACGCACTTCCTACTAACCAACTACACACCTCACATCCAGCCCCCACACCATGCCCCCCTGCCCTCCACCACGCACACAACCAACACACACACACACACACACACAACCAACACACACACAACCAACACACACACACAGGACCAGGAGTCCCCCAGCGGCCTAGACCTCGTCCGCTGCATCGCCACCGCGCGCGTCGTCATGCCCCGCACCGTGGTGCGGCTCTCCGCCGGCCGCCTCGATCTTACGGAAGCTGACCAGGCGCTCGCCTTCCTGGCGGGCGCCAACTCGATCTTTGATGGCGACAAGCTGCTCACCACCCCCAACAACGACAGGTGCGCGCCGGCGGACGCGTGCTTGTTTGCACCTCCGCTCTCGCCTGTTGCAAGTGCGCCTGCTCGTGGGGACGAGCACCTGCTTGTTGTTCATTCGTGTGTGACGGGGGATGGATCGGATGTTGCTCCGCCTGACCGCGTCGTCGCAAGCAGCGAATGCACGCCGGCCGCGCCCCGCGGAAGGCCCGCCCACGTGCCCGCACAAGCTCACGGTCCCCGCGGCCGCCGATGACGTCACGTATGACGCCCGGTGACGTCACCCCTAGGAACGAGGACGCGAAGATGTTTGCGATGCTCGGCCTCAAGAGCCGCCCGGCCTTCCTGCCTTACGACGCCGGCAACGCCAGCAGCCGCGCCTTCGAGCAGCCGGAGGCGGCGGCGGCGCAGCAGCAGCAGCAGCAGCAGGAGAGCGGCAGCGGCGGCGGCTCGTGCTGCGGCGGTGGGTGCGGCAGCGGGAAGCAGCAGCAGGCCGCGGCGGCGTGACCCTCGGGCCCTTTTCTTACCACGATCAAGGGCTCTCCAGGACGCCACGTCAGCGCCTGCCAGTTCGAAACATGGCATTTTTGAAAGGGCAGTATGGTGCGACCTGTAGGCTCGCTGCTCGCCTTGGTCAGCTGAAACCCGCCCTTGGCTGCGCGCAAGCGCGGCCGCCGGCCGGCGGCTTGCCGCTCGATGGTGCAGCGGGCACGCGCACTTACTTGCCTTTCACGGCCTCACCATTCATACGCGATATTCAATCGTCCACAAACATGTTACATTGACATAATGCAGGCTGCAGGGGTGGTGTTCGGCATCGAATACACCGCGGTGGCGGCCGCAGTTGTTTTTCCCTAAGGACGGGCACGTGCACATGGATGACAGCGGGGCGGCATTCAGCGATGGCAGGAAAGGCCGCTTTCGTCCTGCCCCGTCTGTTGCACGTCTAGCCTGTCCTCCTGATAGGTATTTTGCGGCAAAGGCCCTGCCACAGGCACTGGACAAGGCCCGCCTGGCGGCGCGCCCTTTGCGCAGCTGCCCAATCGGCGCTGTGGACAGCTGCGTGCCGGCTTGCCTACAACTGCCTCTTGCGCCATCTTCAGCAACTCTTCGTGGCCTTCAACGAGAAAATTGTGCCTACGTAACAGCCTCGTCTCGGCACACGCGGCCCGTCTCTCCGGCTCCCAGTTCTGGAGCGCGAATCTCAAGCCCAAACCGCCAGCTTCGTGTCTCATAATCGCTGCCGCGTGTTCACACACCTGCACCTCACGCTCTCACGTCTTTCGACGCCTACGCACAGCAGCAACATGGCGCTCGTTATGCGGAAGGCTGGCCTGGCCACGGCGCTGCCCGTGCGGTGAGTTAGCGCTGTGGAATGATAGGAGATTGTCCTGGATATCCGTTACAGAGCCCGCCAGCTCTGCGTGGCACCGACAGTGCCCTTTCCCCGACACCTCGACTCGGACCGCGGGCTCGCTCCACGTCGTCGCGGCCGCACCCTGCTGCGGAAAGATGTACAGGGGCATACGAAAAGCTACCTACGGCCGTGCGCGAGGCTCGCAAGGCTTCTGCCGTGGTTTTGCGATCCCCACCCACCCACGCACGGCCCTTTCGTATCAGGCCGTGAGGCCATGCCCGAGCCCCCAGCCGTGCGCCTCGCCCCTGAACCCACTTGTCAAACCCCTTCGCTCCCCGCCACGCCGCGCAGCTCAAGCCGGAGGATGCTGGTTGTGCGCAACACCGGCGGCGAGCGCACCAACCTGAATGAGGTGCGCCCCCTCACACACCGCGGCCCAGCCCCCGCAGTCCCCCTCATCCGCACGATTTCAAACTCAAACAGGCCCCGCATGTGTCGCATGTGAGCTCGCTCCTTGGCGTGAGCGCCCCGCCGAGGCGCGCGTGCCGCATGCATGCGTGCTGCCCACTCTTTGTTTTCCCCGGCCCGCTGCCGATTGGCCGGCGCACCCCACACAACCTC